GAATCCGCGTTAATTGATGAATATATCTGAGCATCTGTTCATCTACAGCCTTGTCTGTGTAATCTCTGTTTGTCTGAACCGTCAGCACAGTAGTAGCTGTTTCTGAGTGTTCAGCTTGCGATGACTCATCATCATTTGTGTGCGAGTTTACCCCCCCTTCATCCGATGAGGGGTTGTTGGAGGCAACAACAACAATGTCTTGGTGTGTTCCACCGACATCTGTAATGTTGTCATTCGCGCCCTCAGATGTAATAGTGATTACATCACTGCATAGTGCTCCAGGCTGGTTTCCCATTTCAGCGTGTTTCAAAGTTTCTAAAAACCTTTGTAGTTTCTCTGTCTCTTCCGAGCTCAGAGGTGTAGGGCCTTGTTTCTGGAACCTTTGTGATTTTTTCGCCTCGGTTCGTTTCGTCCGAGGTGGGGGAGGGTTAGGTACGTCTTTTGGCGGTTCCTTTTCGGACTTCCCCTGATAATACGGGTCCTCTTGGATCCCATATCTTTGCGTCCTACGCACACCCCATTTACGATAATCACGTTCATCCTCTGAAAGAGGAGCTTTTTTATCCCAGCGTGCACCTTCATGACGCGGTTTGTTAGTTTGAAAAGACTGCTTTTTCTCGCCTTTTTTAGGAGGAGGCGGCGATGCATGCCTTCCTTCCAGTTCTAGGGAGTGGGGTTTAACCTTTATACCAGGAAACACCTCTATGGGCGTCTTAGCATGAGAACATGCCTCAAACACATTCATAGCACACTGTTTAATCTCATTGATAGATTTTCTCTGAAATTTGCCATCATTTGTACTGACATGCGTATGTCAGTGTGGAGATTTTTGCTGAAAACAAATTTAAAACCTTCTTCTTCCTCCATTCCGGTTTCATTTCTGTAACCAAAATAAGCTTGGAAGATTCTTTTGTAATAAACCTTTGGATGTTCATGCTTCCCTTGCGTGACCTTGTCAGCAGCTGGGAAACCAGCAGGTCCCGTGCAGGGGTCGTACTCTCTAATCAAAGCTTCACACAGAAGGTTGTAATCCCTTCTCGTTGCATCAGGTAGACGCTCGATGAAGGTGAACACCTCTCTGTCCGAAGTGAGCCTTATCAGACTGATTTTATCCTCAACTGCAGCATTAGGATAACCACTCAGTCTGAAATCAAGGTCTTTGAGATACGCTTTTGTGCCCGTTGAACCCATTGGACCAGGTACAAAGCGCTGTACATGTTTTGAGATTTTTTGCAAATCATCTATTGAAGGAGGAAGTTTCAACGCTCTCTCTTGCCTGTTCGGTAGAGGAGACCTGTGCAGGTGGCCTGCCTGATGTTGGGGGGCAGGTTGTTCCAGAGTTTGGGGTCCATGACTGAAAAAGCCCGATCTCCTCTGAGCTTCAGTCTTGTTTTTGGAACAGTCAAAAGCAGCTGATCAGATGATCTCAGGGCCCGAGAGGGAACGTAATAAGATATATTCTGTAGCCACGTTTCTGCAAAGAAGATTTAAATTTGATGTTGTGTGCCTTCTGTAAATCTGAAGATGAATCCCTCAAGCATTTTTTTATTTCATGTCAACACAAAGTTTTTGGTCAGACATCAGAAACTGGATTAACCTCAAACTTAACATTCCTTCTTTTGATGCTGATGCCACTTTACTTTATGTTGATAACTTAAACTCAGCTTTCTCTGATGCCATAAATATAGTCGTACATAGCAAAGTACCACATTCACTGTAGTAAGAGGAGAGATAATAGGCCTTCCTTCCTGTTTGATGAACAATTTTAAGTCGTACTATTCTTCATTAAGTAGATTAAAATCTGCAAAACTGCTAAAATCATCTCACAACAGATACAAACTTATTGTTTTAATTAAAACAATGTTTCTCAAGAAAAAAAAACTGATGAGCTTGTCAGCAGGTAAGGGGCGTTTACCTTCGGGACAAATTGAGGTCGTCGATTCGTCAGTTACTGACACGCCTTCTGAGTTGATTGACAGGTCGCGCTGTCGAGGATCCGATTGAAAAAAAAAAAAAAAACCCGAGAGCTGCAGCAGCCGCACTAGGAGGAGGTGGGGCGGCACAGATGCAGTGGAAGCGCAGCAGTTTCTGTGCAGCGCAGGGCTCCAAGTAAAGCAGGAGATAACCAGATATTTTGCTTGTGCCCTCACTGCCCTGGGCCCCTTAGAGATCATGGGCCCCTGGGCAGTTGCCCATATGGTTAATCCGGCCTTGACTGCTACCCCCGCACCCCCACTCCCCCCACCAAACATTTACCATTAAAGTGCATTTATTAAGGAAAAGTTAAACTGAGTCACACCTTTGCTATAATGTCGAGCAAACAAATAATTGTTAAGTGTTAATCTTGTTAAATTTCGGAGAACTGCAACAGTGAGTCTTTCCATCTGTGCTCCCACGGTCGCCACGTGATTGGCAGCCAACCAATTTTTGGCATGACACCAGCCCACGTTTCCCGAGGGTCAGCGGTGACGCATAATAAACTTCACCACTTGCTTTTGCCGAGGTCAGACGCTTTTCCCCCTCATCTCCCTCTGTGCTTTGCTGCTCTGTCTGTCTGTGAAACTGCTTTTGAGCCTCTCTTACATATCTTCCGAACCATAAATACGGACATGTTTTGATAATTTGGTCCCACAACACAATTAATAACATTTCTTCGAAGAGAAGACAGGCTTTAGGCGAGCTGATTTGCCCTGTTGGCATGCACGCAGCTGGATATCTCATCGACTTGGAAGACTTGATGACGTGTATCTCTGCTGCCATTTGTGGATTTATAATGGGATTTTCGATAACTGGTTCCTGCTTTTTGGATTTGGCTGGTCACTGGTTTATGTACAAACAAGGAAGTCGTTGTCAGCAAATTTGGACCCGATCGTGCTGCTTGCCTTATGATGGCTTGGTTCATACCTCAAGTACCCAGACTCAAATGCTTTTGGCAGAATGGATCAGATTGCGGGGATTTTACTCTGGCATGTTCTTTTGGTGTGGCCACGTAATTTGGACATTTTGGAACTGAGTGGACCAACACAGACTCAAGGTAGACGTCATTAAGTTCTCCTGTCCCCAAAACAACTGCGTGTTTATCTGAATTTGGCTCCCCTGGCTGGCCTTGAAGGCTACCTTATCTGAATTTGCCTGGAGAACATGTGATCTGACGCTCTGCTCGCCCCTCTCCCTCCCATCGAGGAATGTCCAACTGATCAACCAGAGGAAACCAGCTGAATATACATTGTGTCATCATTTCAGGACTCTTGGATTCCCATAGGCGTTGTCCTTGGCCATTCTCCAACATCCCTCGAGAATGTTTACGGATCTCACTGGAGGGAACTGGTTGATTATTCCATCCTTATCAGAACTCTTACAGTGTCCTCGAGTGCATCCTTGGACATTGCTCACCGCTCTCGTCGTCTCTCCCCCCCAATCTGTGGAATGTCCAAATCACTATGTGCTTGTATTTGCGAGGTGTTTTTTTTAATAGTTTTTCTTCTCAGCCAAGAAGAAAAAGTTTAATAGAATTTTTTTTTGCCTCCAATTCCTACCTGTGTCCAGTTTCACTACTTTTTGTCTGTCTAAAAAGATCTCACATGTAAATGAGTCTTCGAGGCTCAATATGATTTATCTGTATAAAATAAAGGTTGAATGAATGAAAAAAAACACCACTTATACTTCAAAGTGAGTTGTATATGTTTTTTTTCCTCTTCATTATGCTTTTTTTGACTGATGTGACTCATATGCCAGAAAATTTGGTATTTTACACCAACTGTAGAAGCAAAAACATTAAATATCTAATTAAATAGTTAAGACTATATAATTCTGACAAGATGACTTCTTGTGGTAAAGCTGTCATTTTTCACTGTTGATTTTTTCATCTTTAAGCTAACCTGTGGATATATTTAACTAGCATTTTGCTACATTTATCTTTTTACTTGGCTTGAAATCTTTACATTTAGCTTGCTTTTTGGTGCTTTAAGCATTCAGCTAGCCTTTTGCTAATGACTGTTGTTTATTACCTAGTGTTCTGATATTTTTAGCTGTAACGTTCATTCAACTTCAGAAAAAAGTGATTTTCTGGTTTAATCTGTTGTTTCAAGAATTATTTTAAACAAATGCTGAGTCTGAAAAACTGAAACGGGTAAAATTTTAATCTTTAACTCTAAATTTTACAATAAAAAAAAAATATGATTGATGACTGGCAGCACGGTGACTCGTTTGGTAGAGCTGTTACCTCTCAGCGAGCAGGTCACCAGTTCAAATCCCGGCCAAGGGACTTTCTGGGAGGAGTTTGCATATGCTGGTGAAGATTCTCACCATGTTGTTCTCTCCATGCTGTGTGGGTTTTCTCCGGGTGCTACGGTTTCCTACCACAGACCAAAACATGCATGTTAAGCTGATTGATAACTCTAAATTGTCCCTAGGTGTGAGTGAGAGAGTGAATGGTTGTTTGTCTCTATGTGTCCCTATGATGGACTGGAGACCTGTCCAGGGTGTCCCCCGCCTCTCGCACAGTGACTGCTGGAGATGGGCATCAGTGACCTCTGCGATCCAAAAAGGAAGAAGCGGGTAAAGATGATGGATGGATGATTGATACTATCATCACTGGCCAGGTGTCTGGTTGTAACAAACGTCTCCGTTCTTCCTGTTGGAACTCACAAACTGGATCCAGTCTCTCAGTCTGTTCTCCCAGTCTTTGCACCAGTTCTGGCTCCTCTCTAGGTTCTGGTACCTGGTGGGCATGCGGTCCAAGGCCTGCACTGCCTCCGGGGGGTCAAAGGGCAGACCCGCCTTCTCCACCGCAGCCTGGAACTTGGCTGGAGATGCTGTAGCGATATAACACCTGGAAGCAGAGTTTATCTATTTACAAAGTAACTCAGGTTAATAGAAACTGATTGCAGATGTGTCTCTGCTCCAACAATGCACCTGCAGGAAGGACAGATGTGCCTCTATTTCCACAATGCACCTGGACAAAAGAGGAAGTTTTCATGTGTTGTCACTAAATGTGAGCTCCCACATAGATGTGAAGCTTCCTCCAAACAATTTCCCAGATTCTCTGGTAATCTTTATTTATTTTAACCCCTAAAGAAAAAACAGTTTCTGTAAATGTCGTAAATTTTTAAAAATCCAAAAGTTACTGAACTGCAAATTATATTTTGTATGTTATTTTAGAGAATATTTGTCTGAACACTGAGTCATCATTCACTTCGCTGTTTTTGTTTTTTAACTCAACCGTTTCTACAAAATTTGATATTTTAGCTGTTTTACCTCAAAATTTTCTGCTCGTTCAGGAAATGGTTTCTGTGACTTTTATACTTTTCAAAATCTTTACCTTTATTTACAGAAAATTTCCCTAAAGAACTACATGGAAATCAGCTTCAGAGAAATGGCTCCGAAACCTTCAAGGGTACAAAAACAGAAAGCAGGTGACAACTTTAGTTTGGGAGACTGGAGTGAACACGATCTCAACTCAACACAGTCTGCTGCTTCCTTAGAGAGATATCTTTCACTAATTGCTTTTTATAATCTATGAGAATGTTTTTGTTCAGAGCCCTGATATATGATATGTTGGGACTTGGAGCTATAGAAATAAACTGAATTGTTTGATTGGTTTTTGTCTTCTGCTACTTTTAGCCATTAGTTACTGTTCTGCTTTAATTAAGTTCTAGCTAGCCTTTTGCTACTCTTAGCTAATATTTTGATGTTTTTAGTTTTAGCTCCTCCTTGAATTGCCACCTTAACGTGGTGGAAGAATTTGAGCACCTGAATGATCGCAGGAGCTATGCTGTTGGGTGCAATTATAATTGCCCCTGGTAGGTTCTCCCAAGGCAGATTGGTCGTAGGTGACAGGCCAGACATAGAGTGATTCACAAGACTTATATGGACAGAAAAAAAAACAAGAAACTCAGTGTCCCTTGCCCAGATGTGGGTTACCGGGGCCCCACCCTGGAGCCAGGCCTGGGGGAGGGGCTCGTTGGCGAGTGCCTGGTGACTGGGTCTCTACCCATGGGGCCCGATCGGGCACAGCCCGAAGGAGCAACATAGGGGTTGCCTTCCTGTGGGTCCACCACCTGCAGGCAGGGCCATAAAAGTCGAGTGCATGATGCCATGGGCAGTGGCTGAAAGTGGGGACCTTGGCGCTCTGGCCCTGGCTTACCAAAGCTGGCTCTTGGGACATGGAACGTGACCTCTCTGGTGGGGAGGAGCCTGAGCTTGCGTGCGAGGTTGAGAGGTACCAACTAGATATAGTTGGGCTCACCTCAGTGCACAGCATGGGCTCTGGGACCGATCTGCTTGAAAGGGGCTGGACCTTATTCCACTCTGGAGTTGCCCATAGTGAGAGGCACCGAGCTGGTGTGGGTGTACTTTTAGCCCCCCGACTTGGTGCCTGTGTGTTGGAGTTTTCTCCAGTAGATGAGAGGGAGGCTTCCCTTCGTCTTTGGGTGGGGGGACGAACTCTGACTGTTGTTTGTGTCTACGTGCCGAACGGCAGGTCAGAGTATCCGGACTTCTTGGAGTCCTTGGTGGAGTGTTGGAAGGTGTGCCAGCTGGGGACTCCTTTATTCTGCTGGGGGACTTCAATGCCCATGTGGGTAATGACAGTGTGACCTCGAGGGGCGTGATTGGGAGGAACGGCATCTCTGATCTGAACCCGAGCGGTGTTATGTTGTTGGACTTCTGTGCTAGTAATAGTTTGTCCATCACAAACACCATGTTTGAACATAAGGGTGTCCATAAGTGCACTTGGCACCAGGACGCCCTAGGTTGTAGATTGATGATTGACTTCATAGTCATGACGTCTGATTTGTGGCCATTGGTTTTGGACACTTGGGTGGAGAGAGGAGCCGAGCTATCAACTGATCACCACCTGGTAGTGAGTTGGATCAGATGGCGGATGAAGATGCCAGACAGACCCAGTAGACCCAAATGTGTAGTGAGGGTTTGCTGGGAACGCCTGGCAGAAGAACCCACCAGAGAGATCTTCAACTCACACCTCCGAGAGAGTTTTAACTGCATCCCAGCTGAGGTGGGGGACATTGATTCAGAGTGGGCCATGTTCCACGCCTTACTTGTTGAGGTAGCTGCCTTGAGCTGTGGCCGCAAGGTTGTCTGTGCTTCTTGCGGTGGCTATCCTCGAACTTGGTGGTGGACACCCCGGGTCAGGGAGGCTGCCAAGCTGAAGAAGGAGTCCTATCGGGCTTTGTTGGCCAGTGGGACTCCGGAGGCAGCTGAGGAGTATTGGAGGGCCAAGTGGTCCACAGTCTTGGCTGTTGCTGAGGCAAAAGCTCAGATGTGGGAGGAGTTCAGTGAGACCTTGGATAGAGACTCTTGGTCAGCACAGAGGAGATTCTGGCAAACCATCAGGCGGCTGAGGAGCAGAAATCAGCTCTTTACTAAAACTGTTCAGTGAAGGTGGGGTGCTGTTGACCTCAACCAGTGATGTCGTCGGGAGGTACTTCTCGGACCTTCTCAATTCCATCAGCACATCTTCCATGTAGGAAGCTGAGTCCGTGGACTTTGGGGTTGGTCCGCCCATAACCGCAGCTGAGGTCACCGAGGTAGTTAAAAATATCTGAGGCGGCAGGACTCCGGGAGTGGATGAGATTCACCCTGATTTCCTTAAGGCTCTGGATGTTGTGGGGCTGTCTTGGTTGACACGGCTTTGCAATATCACGTGGACATCGGGGGCAGTGCCACTGGATTGGCAGACTGGGGTGGTGGTTCCCCTCTTCAAAGAGAGGAACCGGAGGGTGTGCTCTATTTACAGGGGCATCGTTCTCCTTAGCCTCCCTCGTAAGGTCTATTCAGGGGTACTGAAGAAGCGAGTCCGATCGTTGGTCGAATCTCAAATCCAGAAAGAACAATGCGGGTTCCATCCTGGCTGTGGAACACTGGATCAGCTTTATACCCTCACTAGGATTTTCGAAGGGTCACGGGAGTTTGCCCATCCAGTCTACATGCGTTTTGTGGATTTGGAGAAGCCATTTGACCTTGTTCCTCGGGGTACACTGTAGGGTGTGTTCCTTGAGTATGGGATTGGGGGCTCATTGTTACGGACTGTTCAGTCCCTATACAAGCGGTGCGAGAGTTTGGTTTGCATTGCCTGTAGTAAGTCGGACCCCTTAAGGGTGGGAGTTGGACTCCACCAGGGCTGCCCCATTGTCACTGTTTCTGTTCATAACTTTTATGGACAAAATTTATCGGTGCAGCCAGGGGGCAGAGGGTTTCCGGTTCGATGACCTCAGGATTCCATCTCTGCTCTTTGCAGATGATGTGGTCCTGTTAGCGTCATCGTACTGTGATCTTCAGCTCTCACTGGAGTGGTTCACAGCTGAGTGTAAAGCGGCTGGGATGAGAATCAGCATCTCCAAATCTGAGGCCATGGTCCTCAACCGGAAAAGGGTGGGTTGTTCTCTTCAGGTCGAGGGTGAGGTTCTGCCTCAAGTGGAGGAGTTCAAGTATCTTGGGGTTTTGTTCATGAGTGAGGGAAGAATGGAACATGAGATTGACAGATTGATTGGTGCAGCATCTGCATTATTGTGGACTCTGTACTGGTCTGTTGTGGTGAGAGAGAGCTGAGATGTAAGGCAAAGTTCTCTGTTTACCGGTCAGCCTACGTTCCTACCCTATGGTCATGAGCTCTGCGTAGTGACCGAAAGAATGAGATAGTGGATACAGGCGGTTGAAATGAGTTTCCTCCGCAGGGTAGCTGGACTCTCCCTTAGAGATAGGGTGAGAAGTTCAGTTATCCTTGGGAGACTCAACCACTACTCCTGCACATCAAAAGGAGTCAGTTCAGGTGGTTCGGGCATCTGGTAAGGATGCTCACTGGGCGCCTCCATAGGGAGGCGTTTCGGGCATGTCCGACTGGGAGGAGTCCCCGGGGAAGACCCAGGACACGCTGGAGAGACTATGTCTCTTGGTTAGCCTGGGAACGTCTTGGGGTCCCCCCAGAAGAGCTAGAAGTGGTGGCTGTGGAAAGAGATGTCTGGGCCTCCCTGCTCAAGCTGCTGCCCCCACCACCTGACTTCGGAATAAGCAGAAGATAATGGATGGATGGATGGAAAGTTTTAGCTCTCCATTTGCCACATTTAGCTTTAAGCTATCATTTTGCAAGTTTTAATTTTTAGCTTTTGTGATCTGTGATCTCGCCTGGCTAAAAAAGGCTAATAACCAAATAAATCTGCAGGTACTTTTAGATAGCATCTAACTACTTTTGGCTTTTAGCTACCATTTAGCTTCAAGCATTTTAGCTTGTTTGCTCATTTTGTTCTTTTATTCACTTATTCATTCAACCTTTATTTAGACAGGTTAATCCCATTGAGCCTCTGAGACTCATTTACAAGCGAAACCTGAGGAGACCTTTAGCTAACATTGTTTTTATTTCTAAGTTTTAACTCTGTTTCAGTTCCTTCAGCAAATTTCAGCTGTGTTTAAGCAGAAAATGTAGCTAAATGTTTGTAGTTCCAGCTGATTTGGCTTCAACTGAACATCTTGAACCAAACTAGAAGGATTTTATTCAACTTGAGTCAAAAAGTAAAAGCATTTCTGCTAAAACAGGAAAACAACCTGAAGTTTTTCCTGTTATAATAAAAAGAAAAACATGGAATTTCTCCTGTACTGGTTCCTGTTTTCCTTCTGGACTAAATGATCAACAGAACCACAGGTGAGAAACCTGATCAGAGTTTATTAGTCTGATCGAACAGGTGATCTCTGACCTCTGTATCTGGGCCCGATGAGGATGACGGAAGTGGTAACACACGGCCACAGCGCTGTGAGGACACAGAATGTACCGATTCTCCTCCCAGCATCTCCTCATTGTCTCAAGAATCTCCTGATCACTCACGGTGCCAGTCAGCAGAACCTCAGACAGCTGAGATACAAAAAAAAATGCTGACGGAACCGAGCCAACGGAGGTCTGAACGTTTACAGAAGTGATCTGGTACCAGTCTGCGGTGCTGCTCAGACAGATGGTGTTGACGAGAACCCTGAAAGTCCTCCATGATGGTCCTCACTGAAGATCCGTCTTTGTTCAGCAGCAGCCAGAAGACCCGCTCCAAGTTGTATGGGTCCTACAGAACACAGAACCCCAGCTGAAATGGGTCAGGAGGTGAAAACATACTATGATGAGTATGTTTACATACTGTTCAACATACAACCTGTTTACAGGTTGTTTACGAGTTGTTTACAAGTAGTTTACAGGTTGTTTACAAGTGTTTACAAGTTGTTTGCAGGTTGTTTACAGGTTGTTTACAGGTTGTTTACAAGTGTTTACGGGTTGTTTGCAGGTTGTTTACCTGGATATCTATAGCTGGAGCCAGAGTCTGCGTGACACTGGAGGCCATGGAAAAGTCTCCACTGGTCACCGTCCGGTGGACGATGTCGTTAGCGTTCACCATGGCAACCAGGTTCAGAGGCAAACCCATGAGCTTCACGATGTACGCAGCTGAAAGGAAACAAAAAAAATGACAGCTGAAATCAGCTGAAGGAGCTGAAACTGGTGTTAAGGCTAAAATAAGCTAAACACTAGTTAAAAGATAAATGTACCCAAAGCATATCCAAAAGTTGGAAGCAGCAAAAGGCCAGCCATAAGTTGCAATGGCAAAAGCCAAAGCAATGGCTAAAGCTATCAAGAGACTAACTGGAAATTAAAAGTAGCTAAAGGCTAGCTAAAACCTAAAGTAGCAAAAAAACTCAAAACTGAGAGAACAGAAAGTCTCAGACATGTTTGACCTGGACCCACCGGTGATGTTTCCTGCCCCCCCGGTGGGAACCACCACCTCCAGCTCCGGCAGGTCTGCCCCCCCCTCAGCTTCCCCCACCCCGCTGAGCTCCAGGTAGGCATACAGGAAGTGGGCCATCTGGACCATGACTCTGGACCAGTTGACGGAATTGAGGCTCATGAGGCCGTGAGACGACACCAGGTTCTGATCGGCAAAGAGCCGACGGATAGGCTGATCGATGTCGTCCGAGCTGCCGTCGGCTGAGGGGACAGAAACCAGACCAGATGAGTCTCTGAGGGTTTCATTAGACCACGTGTGGATGGGAGAAGGGTCTACCTGAGAACATGTGGACATTGTCCTCCAAACAGGTGATCATGTGTTTCTCCTGCACTGCCGAGATGCGCCCCCGAGGGTAGACCACCAGAATATCCAGACCAGTAAGTCCTTTAGCACTGTGGATAGCCGAGCCGCCAGTATCACCGGAGGTTCCTGAGAGGAGGTCAGACCCACACACGGACCTTACGCTTATTTTATTTTTGTTTGGACTAAATTAACAGCAGAAATGAAAACGTTCTCATTTAGAAACATGATCTTCAATGAGAGTTTCTGTTGGACGAAGGAACCTCCTGAAGCCCATCGTAAGATGGTAAAATGGGCGATGTTAAAGCTGCTGCCAGCTGCTCATCGTGACAACATGACTGGAGGTAGAAGATGGAGGCAGAGTCTAATAATGTCTAATATGAGCGTACTGAACGTGACTCTGGGATTAAAAATCAGATTTCTTTAAGCCGTCCCGTTGTGTTAAACATTAAACAGTTTCTTATTCTTTGTCACCAACAGAACCAAGTCTCCCACCATACATATATTAAGGGTGGGCGATATGTCTCAAATATTATATTGTGATATTTCAGTGCATTCTGACAATAACGATAAACTTTGTGATATAACAAAAAAAAAAAAAAACAGAATTGTTATTAGTTATATATATATATATACACACACACACACACACACACACACACATAAATATACA